CCAGTGCCTGCAGTAAATTCCAGGGGTAGTTGGAAACACAAACATGCGCAAGCCTTGGACGGGCAACTCAGTCATGATAGACCCCTCCTTACCACCACCAGCCCTCTCTCTCAGCTTTGCTCCGCACAAGGGGTCTTTGTGTGTGTGACTGCTCTGCGAGGTCTTGCTGCAGGTCTTCTCTTAGATGTTTACCTGCATCATAGGTGTAATTCATGCGACTGTGTCTTCAGTTGTTTTGCCCGTCAGCAGAGTGTGAATGTTAATCATATAATTGGGGATTCCTCCAGCAGACATAAACCAATGTTTGGACTCTTGTGGACCTCAGGAAAAATGTGATTATAGTAATTGTGGCAGACTAATGACGTGTTAGATAAGAAAGGTTTGTTATTACAATGTGCGAGACCCATCCTTAATATAAACTTTGTCTGATTGATATAGCTACTGTCCTGCTTGAATTATAGGTCTGAACAGTCTAATTTTTACGCAGCCTTCTTAACACTAAGGCTAAGAAGATGACAATTATCTAAACTAAGAAATACAAGCAAGAACAACGCAACTTTCGATTAATTTGCAATTGGAAAATTCTCACACATCATCAACTCCCGATCAGCAGCCTGTCTCTAAAGTATGCAGCACAATTTTTCCTCTTCCTCTTCAAAAGAAGGAAGCCCCCCCCACGTCTAACTCTTTGCCAATGTGCTGAGCCAGTGGAAAATCCGACGTCCGTTCAAGAAACAAAGTGGTGTAGAAAGATCGGTTGACCAGAGGAAGCAATATTCATACAACGTGTCCTCACTGATAGGGACCTGGTTGTGTAAGTCCACTAATGAGACATCTTCACATTCGCATTTTCCACTTGCCTTGGCTCAGGAGGCACATGATCTCCAAGTGCACCATAGGCATTTCCACCACAGTCATATGTTTATTTAAAATTGTTTAGGAAATAACTGATAATCTTTCTGCGGCTTATGATTTATTTTTTCCATTCCCTTTGGCTTTTCCATTGTGCATTGTTGCTTGTGCAAATGTCCTAATCAGTTTACAGCAGCGTGTTTATCTAAAAATGTGATAAGATGCAGAGTCCGCAACTAAGTTCTTCTCTCAGTTAGAGCAGCAGACACACTCATGCGGTGCCAGTTGCTAGACACTCTTCGACTGAACCTGCAATTATTTGTCAAGCTATCTTGTCTCATGGTGTGTAGAGCTCTACCCCGGTAATTAAAGTTCTATGTTGGGATGAACACACACATACAGCGCACACACAACCACAGCTATCTTGTTTAGTCTCAAACTCTTTTGCCTAACTTTTTTTTTGTTCTCATCACTGTCTTCCTCTATGAAACCATGTGTTGTCTTTCAACCTGAATAGCGGTTCTGTTTTGAGTGTGTTTTAATAAATGCAAAAGTTAGCCTCAAGCCAACATCCCTTTTTGGGAGAGATTTGGCATGCCTCATCATTAATGCTTACTCAGACAGCACGAACAACACATTAGCATGCACAAAGGCTAATGACACTTGACATTTACTGTAGTTCACAAGATGCTCCGGAGCATATGGCAAATTTCCACAGAGAAACTGAGTCAACAGGAAGACTCAGGCAACAGCTGTGGGGAAAATGATTGGTCTTCTCAATTTTAAAAAAAAAACTTGAAAGAAGTTTTTTCTGCAGTGGTTGATTTACTGAGATTGCTTCTCCATCCTCTGTTGCAGATACATGTTCTCTTTTTTTTATTTTTTATTTCCAGAAGTAAATAATTTACTGTCACAAGTCAAAAGACCAGACAGTTGTGTAGATACTGCTGAAAAGCCTTTCGTTGTGGGGATTCACCATCTTGCTCCCTTCTGCGGTCCCAAAGTGTTTAAATGGATTGAAGCAGAGATTAAGTGGTTTCAACTGAACAAACAGGCTCTGATGACACAAGGCAGAATTCCAATTTATTGTCTGTCATATTTAGATAAAGAATAGACAAACATCAGCCACTGACTGAAAGGAAAATTACATGGAAAGTTGTTGAGTTCTGCATGAAGAATTTGTTTTTTCTTGTTATACATACATTTTTATTAACTCTTCTAATGGCTTAATGTGTGTCTGTGTGTGTGTGTGTGTGTGTGTGTGTGTGTGCATGGGTGCTTGAGTTCATTCTTTTTTGTGATTTGTTTTTTTCTGTTTTACATACTTGTGGTTGTCTTTAAATTCAATGCCTTTAAATAAATTGTATGAAATGCACATATTTGCTTTCTGACAGTTAGATGAGGAGCTCAATACCACTCGATATGTGTCAGTTTAATGTAAGGCTACAACCAGCAGCTAGTTAGCTTAGCTTAGCACAAAGAAAGGGAAATAGTCTGGCACATAACCTCCCATCAAAGGATGAGTTATCATTTTTACTTTTTTACTTTACTTTTGCTGGCTAGCTCTTGCCCCCCGTTTCTAGTCTTTGTGCTAAGCTAAGCTAATTAGCTGCTGGCTGTTGCTACATGTTTACTATACAGACATGAGTTTATTTCCTTAAATGTCTAAAACTATTCCTTTAACAGTATGAATACAGAACTGACCTGCTATTATAATTTACTGTCTTTATTAGTTGTATATTATACTGATCTAAGTTCTTTAAATACATGACTTTGAAAATAGTTTCTGAGAGGACATTTCGGGTCTATATTAACATCCCTACCATTTGATTCTTGTTAATTGTGTCCCCTGGCCTCTGCATGTATGGCTTGGCAGATAGAGATGTAAGAGGTAGGGAGGGAGTTAAGATACTACGACTGATGGACAGACAAAGATGGACAGAAAGCGAGCAGTGTCAGTGTCATGTTAGAGGGACATCTGCTGAGGGTTGGCCAAGCACAAAGCACTGCAGACTGCCAATCAGGAAGCCACCAAAACCACTGACAGTGAACTGGAAAAATGGCAGGCGTAAAAATAGGTCTTGTTTCTACTTCGGCACTACAGGATTTGTGGTGCCTGTTTGCCAGTACCAGCTGTGTGTTGCTGTTGGATGTAGAAGAAAACCACAAGTATTGAAGCGCTGCTAGTTTGAAGTTTGAGAGCAGGAGATTGACTGACAGCTCAAGATGTGTGAAGGGTGTGGGGAAGCATATGTGACACCCAAACTTGACTGACTTCATCATCTTACTGATGGCTGCTACTGCAAACATTGGTCAAAATTCTACCCATGTTACTTGCTTATCTGTCTATCTATCTATCTATCTATCTATCTATCTATCTATCTATCTATCTATCTATCTTTGCATCTTGACTGATTGTTCCTCTTTCTTTCTTTCGACTGAATCAACTCAGTCAAATTACACAGGCGTTAGGACCAAATGATTGCGCAAGTCAACTTACATAAATTAAGTTTTTTTCCTGCCTCTGCTCTTCCTCTTTTTCTTTTATTTTTTTTCTTTTCCCCAAATTTCTCCTCCCTTTGACATAGATCTGACACCACAAGTTCTGAAACATTTTTCATCCTTTAAACTGCACACAGGGATAAACATGTTGAACTTTTCCCCTGTTTACAAATCTGAAGAGGTAAATGCTTCTGTGCACTTAGGGCTGCTGTGTTAATGATAAATCCCATTATGTCAAGACAGCAAGTATATTACACTGAGGTTTGACCTCAACCAGAGTTGTTTTCTGTTTATCATCTACCACCACTCATGTCTTTTTTAACCTGGGGTCCACCACGTCTTCATAAAAGATTGGTTTACTTACCTGACTTGGTTCGTGCAAAGTCAGATGAAGAATATTATTCACCTTGACTGAAAAAAAAAAAAACTCCTTACCTGGCCTTGTGCACGTACTGAACATTCTTTATCATGCACTTTGTATTACTAAATAATAGACTAGTTGGACTGCTTGGGCACCTCGTACTACTGCACATACATTTATCTTACAACGTGCTAGATGTCCACAGGGGGACTTTTTTTGCTGCACAATAATTGCAAAGCATATTCTGTGGTTACTCTGCCCTGTATCAATGTGGTGTTTAATTTCTATTGCATAACAGAAGTCTAAGGGAGAGGACAAATGGACCTCTGCTTACATTGTAATGCAATGCAATCCATTGCCTTTCACTGACAGTTTGGCAAAGCAGTAGGAAGGCTGATTGTCGAGTGTGTGACTCCCTCACAACAGGACTAAAGAATCGCAAAGAATACAGGCATTGAATCCGCAGAAGAAGAAGAAGAAGAAGAAGAAGGGGGAAAAAAAGCGCTACGTCATGGAAAGAATGACGTCAGGTTTGATTAGGCGCCGAGGGAAGAGCCTTGTGTGTAACCTAGGTGGAGTTCAGGCAAACCAGACAGCAGAAACGATGCTGCAGTAAGGTTTCGGTGCGTACTTTTTACAGGCTACATCATATGATTGGGGGGGGCTGTTGAATAATCCTGTTATTATAAGGCGACACGGGAGCAAGGAGGGAGTACGAGGGGATCATGACGTAACCGTTTCCATAGGCGACTGATATGCCGGCTTAGCCAATGGGAATCCACACCAGCGGTCCATACCCATCCTCCTTTTGACGTGCATCACATGTCCCCGGCGGTGTTGTGACAGAAACGGGCGAGGCGAGGCGAGATGATTCCCGGTCGCCTACTTCCGCCTTCGTCAAAAATCCACTTTAGAGAAAACTGGACCCTCTTGTCCTTTTTGGCTGGTTGTCTCCCACATTGTGTCCAATATCCTCACGCCCAACGTCTTAGAAATAGTGATTATACCGTATCGTATCGTTGTATTAATAAATAGAGCCGGGGGCTTTTTGTCTGCACCTGTTCTACGATGAAGTGTTATTTTTTATGAATGACTACTATATTAATCAGTAGTCTTTAAATATACCAGCCATTTGGTACAGTCACTGTGACAACGTGATGCCAGTTAACCGTTATAAGAGTTTAAACAGCAGTACGCATGTGTCATATCGTTTCCGGTCAAGTGGACGTGGGTTTACACGGGCTCAAGTGGGACGGTAACTATCTTGACATTTCTGGTTTGGAGACGTCGGTTGTGGTTGTGACAGCGCAGTGGGCGGGATTTTACCTCCGATCAGGGGAGAGAGTCTAGTCTTTGGTGAGACTGAGGGGGAGTTACAGAGAGAAAGGGATCTGGGGTGCTCTTCAGAGAACGGAGTAAGTATTTTTTGGTGTTATTTCCAGTGCTTGCGCTACAAAATGCCGCATGATACGTGCTGCTTCCATGTGTGGCAGACGTTGCATTGAAGGGGGGGGAAAAAAAAAAAAAACCTTCCCCGGTGAAGTCTTCATTTTTGTGTGCAGTGATCAACGAGGGCCAGCCACCGGTGGGTAGTTAGCCTTATACCAGGCTAACATCGTTAGCTTCACGTTATATCTTAGATACATACTGACATTGGGCGTCTCGTTTTCCGACCCAGGTAGCTAATCAGACAAGATGCTGCCAGATTTTCTCAGCTTGTGTTTCGTTTACCCAGACTTTCGGCTTTGCCCCGGGCGAAGTTTTTCGACTTGTCAATGAATTGGAAGTGGCTTTTTTTGTGCATTTTCCCTCTTTACAATGAACATACGCTAACGCCAGGGAGCTAGTTGGCTAACATTCTACGCTAGCCTGGAACGTTGTGTGTGTGTGTGTTCTTTTTGAACGTTCGACTCAACACGCCACAGCCGCTCGTGTCCGGCAGTTTTGACGTTTACACGTTGAGGCTCATCATTTCAACGGCAGCCGCTGAAAATGTGGACCCCCCCCTTACATAAAGTTACCTCTATTTCATTCTGAATAAAGGG